GAACTTATCCAAATATGGCCTACATACCCTATTCATTAAATCCATGAAAACCGCTGGCATGTTAGTTAACCCAAATGGCTTAACTAAAAATTCATAATGACCATAACGAGTTCTAAACGCCGTCTTAGGAATATCTTCCTCACGGACCCTCATCTGATGGTATCCGGATCGAAGATCGATCTTCGAAAAGTAAGTGGCACCTTGAAGTTGATCGAATAAGTCATCGATTCGGGGAAGAGGATATCGGTTCTTAATGGTCAGCTTATTGAGTTCCCTATAATCGATGCACATCCGAAGGGATCCATCTTTCTTTTCAACAAATAGAACTGGAGCTCCCCAGGGTGAAGAGCTGGGTCTGATGAATCCTTTGTCGAGTAGCTCCTTTAGTTGGTCTGATAATTCTTCCATTTCCGATAGTACCAAACGATAAGGTGATTTGGCTACAGGTGCTGCTCCAGGAATTAAGTCAATGTGAAATTCGACTTGCCGTAACGGGGGTAATCCTGGTAGCTCATCAGGAAACACCTCGGAAAAATCCCGAACTATGGGAAAATCCTGGATGCGTTTCTCTTTAATTCCTTTATCCATAATGTGACCCATAAACGCGACATATTCCTTTTCAAGTATTTTCACATCTTCATGCACGTTACTAACTTGAAATTTCTCTAGGACTTCTCTCCCTGCACCACGAGCGTTTCACTTCCTTTCATAATTCGGATGGTCTTCTCAGAAAAACATATATCGGCTTGATTTTTGGATAGCCAATCCATACCCACAACTACATCGAAGCTTCCTAATCTAATTGGAATAAGGTCTATGCTAAAGTTTTGTTCAGCTAAACGTAATGTACAATTTGTGATTACGTCTTTAGTCCTAACTTCCTGACCATTAGCAAACTCGATAACAAAATCTTCTTTCAGCTTTTGCGACTTTAAACCAATCTTTGGTCTAAATTCTAGGGATACAAAACTCCTATCTGCTCCAGAATCAAATAATATGGATGCGTAATGATTATTCAGAAGAAATGTACATGTGACCACATTCGAGTCTTGTCTGGCTTCTTCCACTCCAATTGCGAATGCTCGACCTCGTGCTTGACCTCCTTGATTTCCTTGGTTGACTGGTCGTGCTGGGTTAGTATCCGACCCTCAATTCAATTTCGGGCATGTAATCCTGAAGTGATTCGGGCTTCCGCACTCATGGCATGTTCGACTCCCTCCGATCTTGCAATCTTTAGCGAAATGACCTCCTTTGTTGCATCGGAAACAGATGATGCATCTCCCGCTATGGTGATAATTGCACTTGCCACACTTAGGGTAAGTTCCCTTGCCCTTTTCGCCTGTTTGTGACTGAACCCCAAAGTTTCTTATCATTTTCTGGGCCTTACCGCCCCTCTCGCTGTAGTTCCTCCTCACTGGCTCCTCCATCCTTCTCTTACCCTTGACTTTATCATTTGCAAATGATCCTGACCGAATAGCATTGTTGGTGAGTTTCGTCGCTAAGTTCACGGCGTCTTGAAGTGTTTTTGGATTAGCCGAAGTCACATTCCCCCGAATTTCTGGAGCTAAACCCCATACATAACGATCAATTCGGTTTTCTTCAGGTGATACTAAGTGTGGCACCAGTTTTGCCAGCTCATGAAAACGAGCAGTGTATGAGTCTACATCACTTTCCTTCATTTCGTGATTCCAAAGTTCTGCTTCTAACTTCTGAATCTCGCTCCTCGGACAGTACTCTTCCTTGAGTAATTTCTTGAATTCTTCCCACGTAAGTCCGTTGGTTGCTTCCCGACCTCGGGTTTGTATCTGGGTATTCCACCACGTCAATGCCCGTCCTTGCAGTAAACAGGCTGCAAACTCCACTTTTCTCCCTTCAGCACATTTACTGATATGAAGAACGGACTCCATTCCTTCAATCCAAGTAAGCAATCCCACGGCTCCTTCTGTCCCGTGGAATTCTTTTGGGTTGCAAGCTCTAAAGCCTTTGTACGTGCAGTCTCTATTTGCTGTTGTACCTTGGTTATTTGCTTGGTTAGCGTTCAAGCCTGCTGCTACTTGGCTAACTATATTAGGGAGGGCTGCCAAAATTTGCTCGGACACCAGTCTCGCTATTTCAGGATCTTCTCTTCTTGGAGGCATATTTCTAACGCACTAATTTTAAATCGAAGTTTGGTTACTTTCACTATTTACCACTGTATCGCATTATGCACGGCATGTTACAATCATCTAATCATGTATCCAAGRTAATATATAATAACTTATAATAATAAAGGCATTTAATCATTAATCAACGAAATTTAACCATCCAAAGACAAAATCCCTTAATATCCACAAAGAAAATAGAGACGTGCAACAAAAGAGAGAAATTGTTCATAAGTCACGGCTACATGCCCCAAAAGAAAATCTTAAGTTTGATCCATCAACAGCTTAATAAAATAAAGTCTTCTAGCGCATCAGACTCCAAACAAGTAATCCCATCACTATCGCCAGAACTCCTGCTAATACCGCCAGATAGATATACAACCTCCTAATCGCTCTCCTAGCGATGTAAGTCAACTCCAATGAGTGATCCATCATATTGTCTTGTGTGCCTAGGGCTGCAATCATTCCATCGGCGAAGTGTCGATAATGCTCCAACCTACGTTCACACATCTCTAGGTCTTTAGCGATGCCCAAAACCCATAAGTTCTCCAAGGTAGTCATACCCGGAGAGCGCTCCGATGTGGTTTTGGTAGTGGGTGGGGGTGTTATACTACGAGTGCGTGACTGAGATGACTCCCTCACGGCTCCAGAAGGGGCAGAGAAATACACCCTCACAGGCGGAGGAATGCACTTTCGGGCGGTGGCCCGAACTCTAACTCCATATGGCGCTATAGAATGTGCGGGTATAGAGCGAGGCGGCTCTGGAGTAGGTGATCGTGCCAAGGACTCGGTAACATCGTTGTCACTATCATAACCGTGCTCGGAAGGGTCGTAATCTCCGGTGTTCGAAAACTCATTATCTGATGACATAGTGCTGCGATATTTAATAAAATTTTAAATTATCGAACGAATCATAATAAATGTCAAAAAGATGCAAAATTTATGCAAACTCACATATGCGAACCGTGCTTTTCTTATTGAGTAAGAAGACCTTAACTTTTAGACAAACACCTAACATAACCGATCCGCGTCTCTCCTTATACATGCTTAATTAGACACAGGTGATCAGGCTCTGTCTAATTAGAATATGCTAAGAAGTCACTCGTTCTAGTTATATTAGTAGTATGTCTGTTTTGAATTTTTGAGACTCTTTTTAAGAAGATTTTTTTTTCCGTAAAATTTTGGGTTATAGTGTATGGTTTTCTTAGAAAACCGGTATTCTCTATAACCTACAGCTCTGATACCAAACCTGTCACACCCCGCTAAAGCGGAAACACGAGGTATGGCAGGTAGAGTCTCATAGCAGCAAAGTATAAATAACACCACCATACATTTAAAATTTAATTACATCATTAACCAAAGTTTACAATTCCAAACGACAAGTTTGTAAATTAAACACAAAAAGAAATTCGAAGGTGATAGTTGATACACGACTTCTTTTAAGTGCCACCAAGTGCCTTTCTTACCCCTGAAAAGCACGTCGAAACAAGTGTCAACTACAAGAGTTGGTGAGTTCACAGGTTTTCAATGTACAACAAATCTTTATGCAATATAGCTCGAGTAAGTCTTTTACTTACTCGCAACACTTTCACACGAGGCACAATGTACTCCAAGTAATTTTTAAGTGTTGGGCCACTACTAAACCTGCGACAACTACGCCCTTTATATACCGGACTACCTCAGCGGTGGGACTAAACCCCACATGTGTAGAACTCTTGTTTTAGTTAAATGCACCCCTACTCGTCAGTAAAAGGTGGGATTGTCAATCCAAATAGCGTTATCCACTTAAACTATCGGCTCATACGAGTTAATAAGTAGTGTAACCAGGTGGGACTTTTTCATTTAACCCAAACACAACTTTTACTAGTGTACAAAATGTTAGTGCTCGTATTCACAATTTCATTTCAAAGCATAATTCATGAAAATCAATTTGTATCCACGATTTAAACACATTGTATATTGCATACAAATCATCAACTACATTTATACATGCTTTTCCCCCAAAAATGCGAAAATAGTAAAAAGGGGCTGTGAAAACTCACCCTTTTGCAAAGCTCCGCAAATCAAAAATACGATCTGGTCACCACACGAGCTTAACGTTTCCCTATCAAAGAGGAATATCCAAAACCGTCACTTATGGGTTTAAATCTACTTATGAGGATTAATAAGTCCTAAGTCCATAAGTGTCTACTTATGTCCAACTTGATTATCTATAGTCCAAATATACATAACGCCCATATGCTCGTTAATATAGTAATTTATACCGGAAATAATGCTATAATCCAATAAAAGATCAAAATTTATAAAATCAAATAATTCCAAAATCTCATTTTTGGACAGAAACTAATGGTACATAAAATTATCTATTTATAGAGACTTCTAAAATGAGATAGTTTCCTATCTTTTTATATGGGATATAGCACTGAGTTATGGTCATTGAGACCAAATTTCATGCATTTTGGACATGCAATAATGATTCAAATAATTTATGCAATACAATATGTCACAACCGATATGGCAGAATACACCATGTTAATAAAATACTCATTTAAATAGTTCTACTAAGTGTTCTGCAGAAATTCAAGTTGGATTATAAACTTAACACTTAAATGAAACTTTTAAAATAAGAATCACTCATTTTGGATGAGTTAAGAGGAAGATATGGCACCATAAAGTTACATGCACACATCTGTCATTAGTTGACAGATTGCACACTTAACTTAATTAAATTGGTTAATGCATCAAAACTTCATATTTTTTAGTGAAACTGGATTCATAAGAACCCTAACTCATAAACGAACATTTCAGAAGAAGAATCATACACTAAGAGCAAGTAAATAAAGAGATATTAGGATACAAAGTAGGAGTTACCTACTGATGGTTTTACAGTTTGCACACCTAAAGTGTTTTAGGTGTTTGGAGATCAAAACTCCATATTTTCATATGATTCCACTTGCATGCAGAGGATAACTCATATAGTTAACTCTCAAAGGAAGAATCATCCTTTTTCATCGAGTTTTGAAAGAGATATGGTCATTAGAACATACATATACAAATCTGTCAGATTCGGACAGATTGCATGCTCACTTTGATTTGAGTAGTTAAAACCTTAAATCACCACATTTTTGAATGAAATCAGTGGCATTTGAAAGGTAACTCATTAATTTAACTTTCAGAAGAAAAATAAATGATTTTGAATGATTATCTAGAGAGTTATGGCTGTTTAAAGTAGGGTTTACCTACTGAAAAACTCTCAGATGCACATTCATAATGTTTTGAGTATTTGGGGAGTCAAAACTCGATGTTTTTGAGTGAGACCAATTGGATTACAACCTCAACTCAATAAATAAACTTTTAGAAGAAGATTCATAACATTTGAACATATTAGTTTCAAGATATGGACGATTTATGCACATGCACATAATCTGTCAGCACCTAAAAATGCCATTTTTAAGAATC